AATTAGATTTTCATGATTTTTTGATAAGGTTTATTGAACTTTTTGGCTTTCCGTAATTTTTGTTGTTGTTTTTTTTTCACTTCAAGACTTGTGGGTGTATTATTAATATTATTAATTTATAAACGTAATAATGTCAATACAATTTTTTATTTTGAAAAAGAATTTTACAATTCTATCATAAACATGTATACTGTTATTTAGATACAAAATACAAACAGTTGACAGAAAAGTAAATACAATTTTTTTAAAACTTAGATCGTTATAAATACTTATAAAACATACAATATATAATATAAATATAAAATATATATATATAAATATAATCGGCGCTATGCGCTTGCGAGGGCTCCTGAAATCGATCTCGTCGTCGTCTGCTATGTTTACTGTTACAAGCAGACGAAATGGATTTACATAACCTGTCATGCACTTTTACATTTTGCACCAACAAATTTACAAGTTCACTTATATTTATAATACGTAATTGATGGCGCAAATGTACGATATAAAAAAATTAATATAAGTCTTTATGAAAGGTTTTTCCAATTGACAGCTCATAAGTTGAAAATTAAATAAAAAATACAAAGACAAGCAGAAAGAGATTATATTAGCTCTATAATCTCTATTAGGAGTAATGTGCACTATGCATCAGTATATAGTATTCTGATAAGACGTATGACGTTTATCCTTACCACATCTACTTATGTAAAAACATAGTTATTCATTACAATATCATATAGAGAAAAGAAGGTTAGAGTTTAATGAAGGAACCATCTTAGCTGTCAATTGTAGGTTTGTAGGTATAAAAGTTGTGTCCATTCATATACTGATATGTATATGTACACATAAATGTACCATTGCATCACTTAAGAGTTTCACTTGGTAACAATCACATTATATTCTGTTGTTGATGTCATTGTGTCATTGGCCAGTGATACTACTTTTTTGCTCACTTTTTTCATCCACTTTTCTACGGCACAAGTGAAGGAGGATAACAAGATAATACATGACAGTTTACTCAAGCATGGCCAAATTAACGCAATCCGTCTGGGGACTATCTTCGAATTTCGCTTCTAATCAGTTCTTTTCACGACTACTGGCGTAAGTTTCTAAGCTGTAATGAAATTTTAATTTTTATCCTTTGTACAGTGCTGTTTTTGTCATATGACACCATGTTAAAAAGTGCCCAGTGGCAATCAGATTATCTGATAATTGCAATCGGTTCACAATAGTTGGTGTGCTTCTATTATTTACAGGACACCGTGGACAAGTGCTTTGCCACTGAGATTGAAAACTTCATCTGCTAAGGTGGTTAGTAATGCCAAGGAGGATGAGCTGGTTATCAGTGACAGTTGTGTGAAACGTCTAAAGGAAATCACAGATGGATCTAGCTTGCGAGTCACAGTTGAAGGAGGTGGCTGTTCAGGCTTCCAGTATAAATTTGATCTTGATTCTAATATTAATGAGGATGATAGGTGAGTTTAAACTTTTTCTTATTTTTGCACTTCATTTCCTTTTAATAGTTCATTTGTTTCTTAGAGTTTTCCAGAAAGATGGAACAAAGATTGTTGTGGACTCCACGTCTTTGGAATATATTAAGGGATCCACAATAGACTACCACACAGAACTGATACGATCGGCTTTCAGAATAACAAATAATCCTCTAGCAGAACAAGGCTGCAGCTGTGGAGCTAGCTTTGCAATAAAATTGGACTGATTGAATGGAGTGAGCTTGATTCAAATAATAAAAATGAGATGTGCATAAAATTAGAAATAACGGGAACTTGTGTTTAAAATTTATAATTGTTTAATAATAAGAAGAACAATGTTGATCTGTACATAATTTAACATTCGAATAGCGAACATTAAAATTTTTATTATTTATAATTCATAAATAACGTAACACCAAGTCAGAAAGCTCACAGCAA